CGATACGTTCCTCCGAAACGTCGGTTAACACCACATATACACGGTGCCAAATCCCAGAAGACTGCTTTCTTCACAAAATGTATTGTTTGCACTTGAGACAGCGTTTGTATCATTATATCATTTATCGTATGGAGTGCAACAGGATGCTTAAATATAATATTACATCTTACTATTACTATTACTCTTACTATCTTACAATTACATCTTTTTATAATAAAAAATCTGTTAGTATAGATGTGGAAAGATACACTTAGGGGCTGAATAATAATTATTTTAAAATACAACTTCTAAATTTGGTATTACTTTTTCAATGACCCAGGATAGCGTGGTTATTATAGTGAATGGCTAGAGATTGGATGGTAAAGGAATTGAGTTTTGAGTCCTGATAGGGGCAACATTATTCTTCTTTCCATGTCATCCAAACCAGTTATAGGGCCAACTTCTCCTCCTATCCAATGGGTACCTTAATGGTTACCAGTATTTTAATCTCTGGTTGCATACATTTGGGTTTAGAGGACTGTGTTGTATTCAGATGCATTTGCATTGCTGTAAAGGGGGTGACCCTGCCTGCCACATACATGATGCCCCAATGCAAGGCAGCCATATGCATACTATCTGGCACTATTCATGAAAGAAAAATTTTCCCTGAAAAACAGGCAAAGGAATTCAATATGTTGGACTTTCACCTTCCCCTAGGAGTCCATGGAAAAGGGTAAAGTTATCTCTTTGCTTAATCAGTTAAGCACTATGCCATGAAGACATACAGGAGTGGAGGTACAGATCCACCATTCTTGACCACGGCACCAGATGGAGGTGTGGTCAGCTTCATGACTCTGCCACTTTACCCTTGAGGAAAAAGCACCCACTACCCACTGAGTGGGTGGTTGGGTGAGCCCCAGAGCTGGTCTGGACACCAAAGAGAAGAGGAAAATCTTGCATGGCTGGGAATTGAATCTGGGTCGCCCAGCCCGTAGCCCATTGCTGTACTGACTACTCTTTACTCAGGTAAAAAGAAAACACTTTGAAAAATTAGCTGCTATTAATGTCAAAATAATATTTTCACAAAGATATTCTGATATTCTTTATCTCTTTATTATTAAATCCAATCACATGTAAATCACACTTAAAAAAAAAATCAAGAAATGTAATGTGACAATGCAGTAAGTTTTGAAAGTATAAATCATCAGAGGTGCAATATATGTTCAGACTGTGCTTATGATACATACTTGCTGTGCTTGAAGGAAGCTGTCCTGTACTTGAGCATTGTGACAGATTATTCTGTATGCTAAATCTCCTGGTTCAGTGTTCAGATCTCCACCCAAGATTACTATATCAGCATTAGTTGATGTTATACTGATGAACTGTGACATGTCAAATGCCTGCAGAACTCTATGAGCCATATATTCATCGTTCCTTCGATTGTACTCAGCATGCAACTGAAAGATACGTGGTTTTAGGAAAGGACTGTCTTGTGCACATGTATATTTGCCAGTTGGTATAAAAATTTTAATGAATATAATCTACTTGCTTACATGAACTTCACTGCTTATATTGAAAAACAGTGACTGAAGGCAACTGAAAACAGCTGATATTATATTAACATAAAGAAAAGATGCTATCAAATAATACAATTGGTATGACCAGAAAGGACTCAATGATTTAAGAAAAAAAAAAACAGTGTTGCATGATAACCGGTCCCCAAGGAAAGGATCAAAACAAATACAGTAGAACTTGGTTATAACGTCATCAAAGGGACCTAAAAATAGTGTTGTTATAAACGAATGTCGTTGTAACCGAAATGGGCACTTCCACAGTAGCCTTATGTTAGTCACGTAAAAATCTACCAAAAACTGAGTTAAAATGTTGCATTTTTTAGAGAAATATGTAGTTAAGTACAGACTAACGTAACATTAACGTGGAATTAATATGGATTCTCCATATCGTTTGTACTGTAGAATTCACCAAACCAAATTCGCGGTATATATCAGCTTTTTTCCTTCCATTTTCTATTTCACGAATCACTTCAACTTTCTCTTCAATGCTTAAAACTTTCCTTTTCATTGCCATGTTTTTGCTACTGCACTTCTCTGGGTTTAGGCAGGAAAACTATAGGGTAAGTAGACAATGTGAGGTCCTGTTAGACGAGATTCTAGGAAAGGAATGCAGTTAACAACCTGCCGTGTCCTCTTGCACTATTCACGCAGTCCCACCCCACACCCTTGTTTTCGCATAAAACCCACGCTCCTCTTGCAGCCCGTGGTCGTATTCTTCCAGGACAGTCACGTCAGCAAGTAGAGAAAGTGAGGGTGGGCAGACACATCGAACTTTCCCACGATATCAGAGAAATTCAGGAATGAAAATGACGTTACATACAAGGTTGATGCATTTGTGCATGTCGTACTAAGCAAGGTATAAAAACAGTTGCTTTATGAGGAATTAGTTCGTACCATTGAATATTTGACACAATAGACAAGGTGTCGCAGAAACCGATGTTGCTATAACCAAGTTTTACTGTACTTCCTAAATACATGTAAAATATTTTGTAACTTGTGAGATTTGAGGTTTTCATGGCAGTGACTATGAAGATTAATATTTTCTGTGATGTGACACCGTGCAGTCTACTAGAAGTTCATAGCCATTTCAGAGGTACAATTGTAAACTTCTACCAGACTACATGGCATTACATTTCTGAAGACAAAAATCTTGTTGTTAGCACTTGAGCCAACAAGCCTGGTAAGGCTGACAGTCACATGGGAATATAAGGAAAATGGTAATTTTTTCTTCAGTATAGATTGATGACAAAAGGTTGGCTGTTTAGTTTCATGTCTTAAGTCTTCCCTGTTTAGACCAATCTGGCCTAGGAATATATTAGTCATATGTGACATGACAATTTGTAATCAATTATAAAACTGAAATAATACAATTTGCCTACAGGGCCTGAGCAGAAGCAAGAAATCCTTCAATATATTCATTTCTTCAGGGATTTAAAACCCATTGTCTGTAATATAAATAATAATAATAATGATGATGATGATGATGATGATGATGATGATGATGATAATAATAATAATAATAATTAAAAAACAAAGAAGCATAACTTATGAAACCAAACAATTCTTAATTTTATGTGCAACCCCCTCCCCTTAACGAAATTATAATTTAGTATAATTTGCTTTACTTTTCATATACTAAATCTGAAGCATTATTTGTATAAATACTTACATGGGCTGAGTAGATATTTATATTGATGCCTTTACATTTTACTCTACACAGACCTATCCCCTTGCCACCAAACCAGTCACCGTGATGAAGCTTATGAACATAACCATTCAGTGGCCATTGGTGGAAAAATACATTTTCAATTGTGTATCTTGAAAAGATACATACTCCAGAGCCAAATACACCACTGTAAATTTCAAATTTAATTAATGGATACATATTTCAGATAAATCCTATATATATAATTTTGAATGATATGTTTCACAGAGACAAGAAAACTTAAAGAAAGTGCTTTACAATATATACCACATAAAGAACCAAAGATGTTCATAAATAATCATAGACAAATGCAACTTTAAATCTGTTCATAAAAAAGGTCTAATGCATCTTAAACATAACTGTTTTATGCACTTGTCTTCTGGGTTACAACACAGCATAACTTTTGAAGCTTCAAGGTATGAGTACAATACTGAGTAGTATATTCCTCTGAAATGTTGGTAATCACCTACAAGACTACATTGTGTCATAACCCAGTGAATCTTTGCTGTCACAAAAATCTCAAATCTCATATAATTTCGCTTTACTTCTCGTAACAGGAAAGTTATCACTGATCACATACGAATGAATTAACTCTAGTTACAACCAAATCATTCCAGCCATGTCAATAATCATATAAGACTTTAATTAAATACAATATTACATTACTTCATTACCATCAAATTCAATATTTTATTTTAATAAAATACTGTATTGTATGATATTGAAGTACGTATTATTGAACTCAAATACTACAATATTGAAAATAACGATATAAGATTTTAATTAACCTTTGATGTACATTTAAATCTTTAACATTACTGACAAGACAGATAAAGACTAAAACTGGCAGAGATATTCAGATAGCCATGAAGTGAAGTGAAGAAGAAGAACAATGTCAAGTGTTTTACTTCACACATTAAACATGCTCAGAAAAACATCATCAAAGTTTTAGTCTCTGCAGGCTATTCAATTCAATTTATTTCAAATTCAAAAATAGATCCAGATACAGGTTTGGAAACAACCATTGGATATAGAATGAGTCACAGATCAAAAAACAAACATTCCATTCCCACAGGAACAAGTCAAGGCATTCATAATATAAAACAAAATAAAAAAAGAACATATCAGCCATATATATAACAAAACTCCCCCGGTATAGGACTCTCAAAGGTTTCAGGCGTCAGTACGAGCTCTTTTTTTCATTTTCATTACTCATCTATTATTTCTATAAAATCCAATACTTTACGATGTGGAAAAATTCATTACATGAGAAAACCATTTACATTTTCAGTTTAAATAAACAGTCAAGCTTAAGTACAAATTGACTTGATATTCCATAAAACTTATTCTTAATGGGAAGCAAAAATATGTAACTGACATTTTTTTCAGATTTACTCTATAAAATGTTTTAAATATAATAAAAACTATGTTCAGTTGTTGTGAGTGAGTTACTGAACTACAGTGTCAGTCTCTCAGGACAGTGCGAAAATGGTAGGGTGACTGGTGCATGATGAATTGAAAAGGGCTTGGAAGAAAGTGATCAAAGTACAATCCCAGTATCTGCTCAGAGGAACTCAGGAAAACCATGAAAAATCTCAGTCAAGATAGCCAGTACCCTGGCCAAGATTTGAACTGAGTACCTCCTGAATACAAATATAAGGCATTACCTCTAAACCACCCTTTCTGGCGTTCAATGGTGTTTGGAATAACAAACCTACATTGCTTAGCACTCCATGTGGCACACTTACTACCATGCTCTTCTAAAACTGGTTTCATATGATTTTATATAAATTATATAAATTTACCGTAAGATTTACATTATTCTGATATAATACAAAATTTATAACTGATAATTCAATTCNAACAAAAATATAAAAAGACAGTGCTGCAAATGTTTCATGTGGTAATACATAAAGTTACACAGACATTGCACATTTAATGAATATATATGCCCTTGTTCTTGCCTGTTGTGTTAATATACCTGTAAAAATAATGAGAATAAGGTAACACCCTAAGTGTCAATTTCTTGATATCAATGTAATCATTCTCAGACCATACTTCTTGCAGGCATACTATGTCATACTTTCCCAAAGCCAACTCTTCAGCTATTGCATTCATTCTTATCTTCCGGTTTCTGGATACTGCTGGGATACCCCTGTTTAATAGAAACAACCATAAGCAAGTTTAACACACCATTGTCTGTTATCAGTTTGTGTTCATGACCCTTAAATGTCCACTTCCATAGCACCCAGCAGCAATTTTTATCAGCTTTCTTAATTAGACTCCCAGGAGAAGACTTGCAAAGTACAACCAAAACAGTGTATAATATTGGAACGAATGTAAACAACTGAAAGACATCTCTTGTATGACTCACAGAATCTTCATACTTTCATAAATCCAAAATAATCAGTTTACATTGGGTTTCCAGGTTACAAACAACAGGATTACATGTGAGTAGTCAAATCCTGTAACTCGTAAACATCCTGGGAACTGACGACAGCCTAATGCTGGCCTCGATTATATAAAACAGTTTGCGTAAGTCAGGAAATATTACGAACATGACCCTTCTAGCTGGGGGGGGGGGTTAAATGTAAAATTATTTCAATGCCTCTCATTATATATACGTAATCAAAAACTTTCAGGGGTGCAGCACACATAAGTACTATTCGATATTTCAAATTTAATAAAATTGTCATTATTTGGTTCGTAGCCCACTGGGATTTTGAAAAGCATGTCACCTGACAAAAATGTACATACCAACAATTTAATGTGAACACGTTAATGTCTGTGTCTGCAGACATTTTTATGTTTCCAAACAGAACTAAATAAAATTAAAAATAAATAAACAAACGTTATGGTCCCATAAATTGTACTTGGCAGATTATTTACAACATTTACAAATTACTATACACGTCTCCTGTGCCGCATTGCATACCGAATCTGTTTTGTCACATGACGTACTGATTGTCTGTAGGGTCTGCAGCATCCAAATTCATAAATAAAGTTGTATTGAATAAATGAAGGCATAAAATGCTGATTATCCATTAAATATTAAATAATTATAGTATGACTGCAAGATCTGATTGAAAACGTAATTTCCCATAATATAGTAGCTCCAAATACTAAATCGACGTTGCCAATTTTAAGACATTGTTATTACTATTCGGTCATCTTTTATTCATTTTTAATAGGAATGTATCCCCTCGCATGGAATTTGTAGTTGTATAATTTAATTAACTCCTTACATCGAACTGTTTAGAAGCATTAAGGGGCCGTTTTATATCGCGAACTTACGGCAACATGCAAATGGCCAACTGTGTGTTCCTGATTGGCTGGCTGGGAAAACGAAACCGGTAGTGGAAATCTCGAAGTCTCGAATAATGAGGAAGTTGTGAGTTTTGTTTTATATTTCATGCAGTTAAAGTCAGTTAGAAGTGTTTTAAAAATCATTCATTGTTTATTTACAACTTGTGAAATCCCCGTTGATTTTGAATTGGATAAAACTAATCTCATATACCTAGAGCAGCGTGACATTTCATCCAATTACAGGTAACTTACATAACTAGATTATTGTACATACTGGTTATTCACCAAATCAAAGAAGAATTGCTGTTTTGTGTAAGATAATCAGAGTTTAATATGTTCTCTTGGTATATTTAGTGATCACTACCTGGAGATTTATACTTTTTCAACTTTGTGATAATTTCAACCTCAAAAGGACTAGGATCAGGTACTCAGGGCTCAGCTGTATGTATTTCTATCCGCATAACATCAGTGACCCTGTGGACATTCAGTAACTGAGAGAAGTAGTTCTTCCACCTATTTAAAATGTTGTGGGTATCTGCAAGCAGATAACCATTCTTATCCTTCATTAAGTTACTTCTGGGTTGGTAACCTGTCTTAAATTCACCGATTCCTCTGTACGGTTCTCTAATATTCTTGTTCTTCCTGTTTGTTGCACGCTCATTAATTATGTCTTTTAGATATTCCCTCGTTTTGTTCCTGAAAAGCCTAATGGCTTCTTGTCTTATATTGTTCAGATTATGCCCATTTATTTTGCTTGGATCCTGTATGCAATGACTGCAGTTTGGCATGTTTCCATTTATTTAATAATTTTGATCATCTTTCATTGACCCATGGACCTTAGAGAGATAGGATGGGGTGGTATGAATGGGATTGATCTGGCTCAGGATAGGGACCAGCAGAGGGTTCTTGTGAACATGGTAATGAAACTTCGGGTTCCGTAAAATATTTGGAAATTCTCGAGCAGCTGCACAACTGGTGGCTTCTCAAGAAGGGCTAATTGCCATGGAGTTAACTGCTTAGCACTTTATTGACTTATGTAATAAAATTGAAAGTGGGAGTTGAGATAACTAGATTAATTGTAATGTTTAATATTCCAGGAGATTTCAAGTCACACAAGATTATATTTGGAAACAATGAAGAAGAGGCTTCTTAGCTTCTTTATTATAGGTGTCGTTTGTCTGAGTTTGGTAACTTTGAGTCAGTCAGAGAGTGAAGATGAAGATGATGCTGTAGTAACAACCGAGGAAGTAAGTATTCATGCACAGATTTCTTTTTGTTTAAGAATTCATGTAGCCGTTGTGAAGGTAGATTGAAGGTAGGAACCCTACTGTGAGTGTTTTGAAACACTGCGAGATGCCTTGAACTTAGACACATTCTTTGGCATGACCAAAATAACAGAAAGAGAACATGCAGTTTATAAATTTGACTGTCTGGAACCTGAGCATATATGCATGTGGCTTATTTAATGACACTACTATTGCTACAAAAGTATTGAAGATGAGCAGTGATACACACACAGGGAGCCTGCACAGAATAATACATGAACGGTGCTGGAAACAAGAAACAGCTGCTGCAGCACATGTAGACAAGAGCAGGTGTCCTTGGTATTTAAAACTTTAAATTTTAGAAATTTTAAATTTTAAACTGTAATTCTAAAATCAAATTGATGACCATGTGTTGGTGAGATTTTAAAACAAAACTGACAGGATGATGTTTGAGATTTTGGACTGCGTGCAGTATGACAGCTACGTAATGAAAAATACACCTGATGATGGCCAATTACGGCCGAAACATGTAGTGTAGAGGAAGAAAAGACAAAGATCTACAACCAAATAAATTGTTGAATTCACAATGGCATTTGTATTATTACATATAGAAGCTACTACTGCTGTTCTACTACTACTACCACCACCACTCTTGCCACTGTGTCTGAGTATATGAAGTACTCCATTAATAAGTTCATTCAAAATTTTAACTTTTAACTTTCTTCTGGCAGGATGATGATGCACCTCTAAAGATGTCATAGACAGTAGCTTTCTGTGGCATGATTTCTCAGACAGCAGGTTGCAACCTACCATGGGGTGGGAGGGGTGTCTGAGTTGTAGGGAATTACTTAAATTTTTTTTGCAAGCGCACATGGTTTTAAAGCTGATTAGGATATAATATAGGTGAGTTTTTTTGGAAACTGGCTGCAGCCAGCAAATCATATTACCAATAGGGAAGTCAAAAAAGAGCAGAAAGATCCATCTGCTATAAATCATTTTATTTTTTAATACTGTGCAAAGGATAAAGTCCAGAAATCTAATGATGTGAATTTTTCATGGTTGTCAGTGACTTTTTAAGCTTGCTGTAAGTGTGTAGTGGCTGATATGCTGTTCAGGCTCATGTTGTAACTGTACAACCTGATAGGGACCTATAAAGATATATAGAACTGCTCTTTATGTACACCAGCATAGATGGGGGGCTGGCATAAATTTATTTATTATTTTGCAGGGTCCCAGATTCTTGGTAAATTGTGTTGCACATGTTAACATTAGAAACTGGACATAGTCCAGAGAGCTAGTAATGCTGACATCAGTTTGTGCTCCACAATTTGAGTTAATTCCATTTGCTGGTGCATAAGTCATTAATTAGAAGTGAAATTGAACATTGCAGTCAAGGGGTTGGCAAATGCTTCAGTAATACCTAATTAGGCCATGGCTGCTCCCTTTCATGTTTCTCCTAATTCAGTTATTGACTAATCACCCTGTCACTCGAAATTTTATAATCTGACTATTGAAAATATCATTAAACACACCAAGAATAAATTATGAAATAATGCCCTCCTTACATCTAGCCCAGCAACCAATGACACAGTCAGTTTCTTGAAGCAAAGACATTCTTCCATTGTGAGCATAAACTTAAATGTACATGCCCAAAAACTCATTGGTGGAATGGTTTTGCATGTTAAGATTGTTATTTTGGGGAAGAGTTTGGAGATTCAGCTACAGTGTATAATGCTCCAGACTTTTTAATGAAATCTTAAATTTGTTTTCAGGATGATGTAGTTGTAGATGACATAATTTATAGGAGTCCTACACCATCTGGCAATGTGTACTTTGCAGAACATTTTGATGACATAAATCAATTCAACAAGAAGTGGACATTGTCAGAGGCTAAGAAGGATGATACAGATGATGATATTGCCAAGTATGATGGTTAGTATGATGTTGTTGAAACACTTTTTGTCACCTCTTTTCAGGACTACCAGATCACCAAAACACATTTCACCACACCTTTTCATTAATCATATGGTCAATCCATATTGGCTAGCACAACACTGTTTTGTTTTATCCAATCACAGCTGCACCCCGAGATCTTTACTCGCTGTGAATTCTACATAAGAGCTTCCAAAACATATTAACCCTGAAGATGGCAAAGGCAGTGTTTGCCAAAATGTTGGAAATGCAACAATTTATGTGGTGTATTTTAAGAAGCCAAAATCATACAGTATGAGAAATAATTGCTCTCTTTTTTTTTTGTTCAGTGATTGATTAAAGTGAGTGCATACCCAAACATGAACAGTAATACTCGTAGCCTTAGGCTTTTACTTGTAAAAATGAGACCCAAAGCCCAAACATACAATTTGCTTCCAGCAGCTAGCTCACAATATTAGACCTTTTGTTTTGTTTTTAAAATGTTGAAGGTTATCCTTTTGTTACTTTACTCACCTATTAATATTGTCATATGTTTGGGTGATTGAGGCACAGGTTTTGATTGGTAATTGGATATATTAATGACCTACAAGTCATAACTACAAATAATTATTACAATCTTGCTGATTTTCACAATTTACAATCACTTGACACTAATCTTCTCAGTCTATTTCCTCTAGTTTTCACTATCTGCTTCCTGGCAACAGATTTATAACACGAGAACTATACAAGTCTTCAATTCACAAGTTAGCTCTTTTTCAAATATGAAATTCCCATGGCTCACTCCTACCAAGAACTCGGAACTAAGAACTCTATCACTCATAGTTCCAATTCACTCACTTGCATGCTTCTGCCGCTACTGTTTCTCTCTCTCTCTCTCTCTCTCCTCTGTGATGAACTGAGACCTCCCTCTGCCAACTTAGGAACTCAGCTCACTTATATAGCCGAGGGATGAACATCGACCAACAGTAAATACATATCATGTGACCCCTACCCTCTCTTGCTCTGTGATGTCACCACACATGCCCAAGCTGATGGACATGCAGGAAACACATGTCAAAAGATGGCCACGTACTGTTACTCTGTGATGTCACTGCTCCTATGCCAGCTTGCTCTACTGTTGCATGTGCCTATCGTGTTTACAGAGATATTGCCTGACAACTTGTTGATCAAATATGCCACAATGTGCACATACAATAAAGACATGATTTTTGTATGTAAGAACAAGGGGTATGTATGTTGGCCAATTCTAATATCATTTCCTCATAGGTTTAATATTTTACATAAGGTAAATAATGACCTTAATTAATTTAAATATCCATTATTATTCATATTTTCCAGTGTATAAGAAAATTTCACATAAGCCAAGAAACTTTTCATCATGATGTAGTTTTTCATATATAAAGAAAGTTATAACAAAAGTAGAATATTTTGTCATGAAATTTCATATTGTAAAAATATTATAAAATTCTGTATTGTTTTAATTCTGCACTTATAACTATGTTCTGGTCAAGAAGTATAGGAGGACAAACATCTGAACCATGTTTTCTTTCAGAAACCAAAGCACAGATGAGATATGATTTTTTGAGACATTCGATAAAGAGAAGATTTTGCCAGTTTTAAAATAGATGTACCAAAGAATTGAGAATTGAATTAATGAATCTTATATCTGAGATGTAATCCTATAATGCTGGAACTTGATTGAATTCTTAAAGTGTAAAAATGTAGATGTTCACTGTAAAATGTATGCAAAGCATCTGTTGTTATTTGAAAGTTCAGAAGACAAAGCATTTTCTATCCATGCTCTGTCCTTTCTGTGGCTCCTACACAGTACCTACCATTATGAATACACTAATGAAAAAGTCCATTGCAATTCAGGAGGGAATCATTTTTTTTTTCTTTGTTAACCTCCTTTCTCCTTGTCCTTTATCCCATTGATACATTTATCTTGCTTCCTTCTTTCCCCATTAAGAGCAGTGAATTAAGCTGCATCTTTATCCTTTAGATGGCACAATATTGAGCACGGGACTGCTGCCTGTGTTAAGTAGGTCAAAATTGCTATGGTACGAGAATGAGGTAGCATACATAGTCATAAACTGTTTTCCTCTTTTATATGTTGATTCTGATCAAAGTTTTATTTATATACTTTGTCACATAATTGGTGTTTGGAAGAAGGGGTGGTTCATTCATTCATTCATTCATTCATATTCCATAAGATCTCTACAAGGTCGAAAAACAACCAGTTAGGTATAGAAATCGTCAAGTAGCTTAATCACATCTTGCTTATCAATCAAGCAGGTGTCAAAAGACAATTAATAGTAGATAAGTTTAGGAAATGGAATTGGTTTCTTTTTCTAAGGGATTATAAATTGTTATAAGAGGAGTTTAGGTGACATAAAATTTATCAGCATTCATGCAACAAGTGTGAATCACTGTGACAGAATAAGCATAAAATTGTCTTACATGAATGTGCAGTGCTTTGGTGCTTATTTTTTTTTAGCCTATTTATGTAATTCAAGAAATCCCATGCATTGAACATGTACCACTGAGCAAGTTGTCTCAAGCTGTAGCACTTCTAACCTGTGTTGTGAGACATTTCAGTTCAAACCTTGGCTGCAAAACAGTCTGAATTTTCTCATGGTTTTCCTCAGGCCTTGCAGGCAGGTGCCAGGATAGGCTATAATGTTAAGCCATGGCCACTTCCATTTCTTTATTAATCCTAATCCAATCATTTGACACTGTATAGGCTGAGTTGCTGATGCTATCATTAAATAAACTATGAACAAGAAAAGGTTGAACACATACCTTTGCATGTTACTCATCCAAACCATACACAAGGTCACTGGAAGTAACTGTAGTAATGGAGTTGCTGGCTACAGATCCAGAGGTCCCAGTTTCGGTTCCTAGTGCTACCAGATTTTCTGAGAAGTAGTGGGTGTGGAACAGGGTCCACTCAGTCTTGTGAGGATAATTGAGGAGCTGTTTGTAGGAAATAGCGGCTCTGCTCTAGAAAACCGAGATTAACAGCTGTGGGGATCTGTTGCGCTGACCATGGGACACCGTCTCCGCAAAAGTTGGCACTAACTTCGCCAACAAGCGGCGGTTGCTCAGTCGATATAGTTCCCTTGCAGACTATATGACATGGTGTTTTTATTTGTTTTTTGTTATATTAATACAATTATTGTATTTTGGACTTTATCCAGCATCCTTTTTTTAACACAAAGTTTTAGGTAATGTTATGTAATGTTAATGTTACTGTAGGAAAATGGGAAGTTGAAGCTCCACAAAAGAATGGCTTGGCTGGGGATCTCGGACTTGTTTTGAAATCCAAAGCAAAACATGCTGCAATATCCGCTCGTCTGGATCGCCCTTTCAAATTCACAGTAAAGCCATTGATAGTGCAGTATGAAGTAACATTGCAAGAGGGACAAGAATGTGGTGGTGCCTACCTAAAACTACTCACACATGGGAAGCACACAGCTGATCTCCGCCAGTTCCATGACAAAACACCATACACCATTATGTTTGGGCCAGATAAATGTGGCAATGATCATAAAGTAAGTACTCAAATAAACTAGGTGCTTGATACACTCTGGTGTGCAATTCATGCATAAACTAATGTCTCGTATTGGGGTGACTATAGATGGGGGTTGGATTGGTGAATGAATTTATTGACCACTTATACACATGGCCAGTAACTGAAAGTAACTGCAGCACAACAGCTAATCTCCACAATTCACAAATGACCACAGCATCCGTTAAGATTTTTCAACTTTATGTGTCTTTATGCTCTTCAATTGTTGTGGATGTTACCCAGCAAAAGCCATTGCTTTGTAGCAGTGGGTCTATACACCACACTGTTATATCTCCTTAATAATAATGCACTAAAATTTGGATGATTGAACTATAGAAATATATTCTTTATTGCATGTAAGGGATTAGGTGTAGCTTTACAATCAAAATATAGTGCACAACAAACAAAATTTTCTCTCTTTTAGAGGAAACTTGATGATCCTAGTAACTTTCAGTATATTAAGTTTCACTCTGAGCTCGAAAATTGTGTTATAGCCCACCATTTTCAAAGAAATTGCCAAGATCTAACATATAACAAGCTGGTCAACCAGATATCATGTGGTTTTACCATAAGTCACTGCACAGCAGGATAATCTCTTAACCAGTGAGTTAGTTGTATTTGGTGTTATATAAACCAACAGCTGCAAGCTTGCAGCATTCTACGCTTAATCCTTGTGATGTGTTACGTGCTTTCTTAGTTTCAAAGAAACTAAAAGAAAATTGTGGGTGATAGAATAACATATTTATAATCTTCACATAAAATACAGCAAAATTGCCCAATTGAACACTAAAGAGAATATCACTGGGTTTTGAGTTTCTTGCTCTGGTGACTGTGAAGATGTCTTCTGGGACATGACACCATGTAGTCTGGTAGATGTGCACTGATGTGTACTGATATTCATCTAAACTTCAGTAAGCTTGTACTAGACTGCATGAGGACCCATTACAGAAGACTGTAATCTTTTAGAAAATTGTCGTTTTGCAGTGTAGTTGTTGATGCTCAAAATATTGATTTGCCTGTATGCATATTACTATACCATGCTTTTTAATTTTCATGTCCTTGTCTTCTGCCTTTCAGCTTCACTTTATTTTCCGCCACAAGAACCCACTGAATGGAACATTCTCAGAGAAACATTGCAAGAAACCTAAGGAACGTTTAGAGGAACCATTCAAAGATAAGCTTCCGCACTTATATACATTACATGTTCGACCTGACAACACTTTTACAGTGAAACTTGATCATAAAGTAATCAACGAGGGCAATTTACTAGATGATTTTACCCCACCCGTTAATCCACCACCTGAAATTGATGATCCTAATGACAAGAAACCTGCGGACTGGGATGAACGTGAGAAGATACCTGACCCAGAGGCACGTAAACCTGATAATTGGGATGAAGATGCCCCTGCTATGATACCTGATCCAACTGCCACAAAACCAGAGTCCTGGTTGGAAGATGAGCCCGAAATGATTCCGGATCCCAATGCAGAGAAGCCCGATGACTGGTTAGTTCTCTCCCAGCAGAAATTTTACAGAGACTTAATTGACATGTGTATCATCAATCTGTATATGTCCAAATGTTATGTGTATTTTTTTTTCCTATCTTGAAGTCTGAAATGGGACACATGCATAAAGGAATGTGCATTGAGAGAATATCTGTAGTAAACGGTATGTTTCAAACTGTTGGAATAATCTCAGGAAGGCTGTTGTTTCTTAATGGATATTTATCTAATATGAACTGCCATTCTTTGTTTCAATAGGGATGCCGACATGGATGGAGACTGGGAGGCGCCACTCATTCCTAATCCTGCATGTGAGAGCGCTCCAGGTTGTGGTCCCTGGAAACCTTCACTGATAAACAACCCAGACCATAAGGGGAAATGGCGTGCACCCCTTATTGATAATCCAAATTATAAAGGCAAGTGGAAGCCCCAGAGGATTGCCAATCCAGACTTCTTTGAAGATAAAGAGCCATTCAGGATGGCAGATATTGTAAGTATTTGATACTATAGAATGCTTTCTTTTTAAATGTGATATCATATATCTCAGAAGATAGTCATTACTGTTGGAACCACAAATCCAACGTATGTGATATTTGTTTACCCCCTCCCCCATATTGGAATGAAAGTAGGGTATGTACATGTATACTTGTACCAAATGACCTTTCATTTCATGGGTCAACTGTTGCATAAATGTTCCCGCTGTAATATCATCCAAATTCCAAGTCTGAAACGTCATTACTGTTCTATTCTTATTCCACCTTACACATTCATCATATGACTTGTAATGATGCCTTGACCATTTTAGTGATTCATTTTTAAATATTGTCATGTTTTAGTGATAGGCATGGAGTTTGGATAGATAATTGGATTTATTGGACTTCTATAACTCATAACTACGAATAATTATAAAGATACTGCTAATCTACATGCTTAACAGATCACTACTTCAAACATTAAGGCTTCTATCTCTTCACTTGTTGCCAGGTAATGGCTCCCAAAAATGTAGATTCCTCAGCTTCTGTACTCGAGTCATTACTGGCTGGAAACTTTCTCAGAACTCCTCATGTCTGCAGATTGTTCATATTTCCATATTTTGTTTCAGGCTGCAGTTGGCCTAGAATTGTGGTCTATGTCAAATATGATTTTATTTGATAATTTCATCATAACTGATGATCCAGCTGTGTCAGACACTTGGGCTGCTGAGACGTTCGACCTCAAGCGCAGGAAGCTGGACAAAGATGGTGTAAGTAGTACATAAATGGTTACTGTTATGAATAATTAAAAAAAGAGTTATTATGAAAAATCAATAAATATGAAAGAAGAAAAATGAGCATCGTAAAAGAGCATTGCCAGAAGGAAGTTCAAAAATAAAGAAAGGTAAAGCTATCCCTGTAACAGGCCATGGAGGCCCACAGGGTTGTGAGACATTGAGGCTCCCACATTGTATAGACAGTTGGCTCACAGATAGTGGTAAGGTTGTCAGCCTTTTGCACCAGCTGCCCTTCCCCCCCCCCTCCCTGGAAGATTCCTGGTACTCATTTCTGTTAGATGCTGAATAGACCCCAGGGCCATAGTGCGGCTGGAAGGATTAGGTCAATTGAGAAAATCCACCTCATCGGGACTCAAACCCGTGACCTTCTGGCTTGTAGCATAGTTGACTCAACCAACTCTGCTACTGTGTGCCCCAAAGGAAAGATAAATGCATTGAAAATTTACTAATTATAGAATGATATCATCGATTATCTCATCCTTATTGTCTTTTGGAGTTCATTCAAGTAGGGATTAAATTCCATGTAATCTGGCAGACGTTTACTGGCTTTTGGAGGAACATTCTGCCACCATCTTTGTGGTTGAAGATTAAGCCAAGCCAGCAAAGAGCAAGCCTGCCAGCGCTCAAATTATTCTACCCTGATGATGGAGGCAAAATGTTCCTCTGATGTGTTGGTATAGTACCAGACTACTCATCATCACATCCTGTAAGATGATACTCTTCATAGTCACTTCTATGAGAACCTCACATCTCACATCCTGTTTTTAATGTTCCCATGGAGACAGTGAACACTGAACAAAAGGAAGTCTCTGGTGAAATGTTGATGTAATTTTTATAGACATTGGAATTTGAACACTAAATATGGGTAAACCATAAATTTGGGTATATTAAAATGGTTATCTACAGCAGACAAACATTTGTTCAGTTCAGTCAAGATTTGTTCAGTAAGTAATTAACAGGAAATATATTACAGATTGTTACAATCCATGCATTCAATTGAATGCTGATTTGTTTGAGATTTTGGGCATAATATATAAGCTTTAATTCCCTAGTGTTAAGTATGCACAGTGTCCATGTTGTCATAAATAAGTTGTGTATGGACTGAAGTTGGCCATGAGGTAGAACTGCATAAGCCCTCATCTTGTTTTTTGAAATAATGGAAAAGTTTCAGTGATATTTGTTCTTATCAGGAATGTCTGTGGTGAAAGGGATGAAATCACTGGACTCTGAAACTAGTGTGGAAGAGAATAATCTCAGAGGTAGAAATGCACAAGCCCTCATCATGTTTTTTAAGTCTAGTGATGTTTGTTCTTATCAGGCAAGTTTCTGGGGTAAGGTGATGAAATCCCTCAACTATAAACCTGGTTGGTGGGCAGTGTATTTTGTATACTGTGCCATTCCAGTTGGAATATATATTCGCTGCCTATGGAAGAGGGTTGCTGAGGTAACCGGTAGCAGTTCGGTATATTGTAGTTTGCTAGTAATTTCCACAGTAAGAGCCAGCAGACAGTAAAATCTTTGTATTGTGTAGAAACAGTTGTTTTTATCACAGTTGTGTAAGGTAAGTCATATAAGGAGATCAACAGCATTGTAATGTAATTTTGCTCAACCCCAGTTTAGTGGAAACCTTAATTCAAAATAAGAAAAATCGCTCCAATGAAATATTCTTTAAATCAGGATTTCACTATATTTTAATCCATAACATACCATTGCACTTTTAGAAAAATAATGTAGTTTGGCTTGGGCTTTATAACATAAAATAATGAAGTAATATATTTTTCAAAGTAACATGGCTTGAATGTAGATGTATATACCTTTATTTTAGTTACAGTATTTTACTATATCATCCACTTACAGGAAAGTTTGTTTAGTCGACTAGTGACATACACCAATGAGCAGCCATGGTTGTGGGCTGTGTATGTAATAGTGATTGGTCTACCCATAGTGCTTGTTTTAGTCTTCTGCTGTGGTTCCTCTTCACAGGTAAGAGCAAGAACAGTGTTCCTGAGTTATACCTATAGCCTGTTTGTGTTTGTTTGAATAACTGCATTTTGAACTCACCCCTTATAAGCATAATAATTCATTCAGACATTCTAAGTGTAAAGCAGTGGTATGGGAGGAGTAGAATAAGGGTCCTTTGTATATCCACAGCCTACTCATGATTATCCATGCTAATGAAGAGGAAGAGATGTATGAATAATCAAAACACATGGCTAAGCCAATAGTAATCTTTGGGCATAACTGGGAGATCATGGCAGTCATTGAATATAGATATATATAACTGTGTGCATAGTGTCACACTGGTTTAATTATCTAAAAAATCATAAAACTTAGAAGAAGTGTACTGAATTTGAAGTGTGTTTTATTTTTCTTTAGAACTTCTTTTTGAAATATTTTTCTTTTGAAATGGCTCAGTAGTTTTTTGGTAAAATTCTCCAATATCAAATCTCGTGAAACTCCAGCCATCGGTTGTTGGGTTGTCATATGCATACAGATGGGTGGACAGAATGAGCATGCATAATACATGCTGTGCATGATCACATCTAAAGGGTTTATAAATAAGATAGAAACTGGATAATCTTTGCATGGATAATTGGGAATATATTGTATTTGTAGAGGTGGAAGCAAGTAGCATATTTCATTGTTTTTGTTTGTCCTTTGTTTTTGAAAATGGTGTAGTGTGTCATCTTGAAATGTGTATGTTGTCTCCTCTGTATGCTTTTGGAAGTTTATATAGTGTATAGTTGTTTATAATCAAATTTTGTGCAATAAATACTAGCATCACAAAATCTATTATAAGCATATGTTAAAACCCTTTATTTTAGGGGTTATTTCAGTGGTGCACTAATGGGTTGAAGTGTTCCCCTTCAGTAGAAGAAAGCTGCAACACATGCATACTTAAAGAAATCACATCAAAATGCAGAACTTTGTTCCAGAATTAAGTGAACGAAATGCATTCCTTTCCAAGATTTGGGGTCTTTATGCCAGTGCAACTTCTTAGGTGGACACTCCCAAGCTGCAGTTAACACTTTTGTTCTGTCCCCCTTCTCTTCACCCATATATGTGTACCAGTTTACAGCCCCAATGTTTATTCTTTCTGCTATGGATTTTTTGCATGTAATACTTAAATTTGTCATGTTTGCAAAGCATGACATGATTTTATAATACTAAAATGTTCAAACTCCTCTTTCCCTTGTGACTGACAGCATTTTGATATCTAGCATCATAGTGAAGTGTAACAGCAAGAGAATATGTTTCAGCAGCATATCGATAAATCTTGATTCATTTTGAAAACAGTGCGCTTAATTACTTGTAGTAATAGGCAAGAATGTTCAGACTTTCAGATTCACTGTCATTTGACATTAGAATAATATTGATTTATGGAAAAATGTATGTGTTGCCTTATTTAGTAATGATAAGATTAATGTCAATGGAAATACTAAATTCTTCTGTTTTTATTAAATACAGTACTGTTTCCACATCTTCATTTATGTTGTGCTTAAATAAACAGGACAAAGAAGAACAGAGACGTGCAGCTGAAGCAAAGAAGACAGATGCTGTATCACCAGATGACATTGTAGACCAAGCACCAGTGAAGGCAACCAAATCTAAGAGTCAGCTAGAGGTGCAGGAGGAGGAGGAGGAGGAGGAAGAAGAAGAAGAAGCAGAAGCAAGTGGAGGAGAGGTGGACACTGATGCACTGAAAACTGAGGTAAATTAAGATCACCTGTCCTATAAAATAATAGACTGAAATATAATACTGTGAAGTTTTATTGATCACTTTATACACTACAGATTATGGGAACAACATAGACTGAAGGTGGAGAGTATTATTTTCTGTCATGTTATGCCATGACCAAAGTCTACCAAACTTACAGTATAACATCTCAGAAGATGATACTCTTTGTATCAACTGCAGTGAGAACCTCAAATCTTGCATGGTCTGGGGCTATTTGAGAACAGAGCGCTGAGAAGAATATTTGAACGTAAGAGGAAGGAAGTGTCAGGAGGATGGAGAAAATTGCATGATGAGGACATCATAATATATACTCCTCATCATATATTATTAGGATGAGCAAAACATCACACATGGGATAGAAGAAAAATGCACAAAAGTTCTGGTAGAAAAATCTGAAGTAGGGAGCCCATGTGGTAGACCTAGGCACAGATGGGAGAATAGTACTAAAATGGATGTTAAAGAAATCAAATGGGAGTGTGTGGATTGGATTCATCTGACTCAGAGTAAGCAGCCATTGTGAACATGGTAGTGAACCTTTGAATTCCATAAAATGCTGGGAGTTTCTTAACAAGCTGAACAACTGTTAGTTTCTCAAGAAGGATTCTTCTTCATTCGGTCAGTTGGGTAATGTGTAACTTATCATGGAATAGTGCTTTATAGGGAAGTCATGTCTGTTGATTGATGAATTAAAATAGAAACAAACAAATGATTTTCTGGGAAATGAACACATTCTGCTTATTTTTCTGGTCAAAACATATCTCAGACAGATATTGTGGAACTTAAAAGAGATGTATGTTGAACATTACATTTATTTTTTGGGAGTGGTGAGTTCACACAAAAATAAATCAACTGTAATTGTAAGGATATGAATTATACCGCCAGTTATAATACTTATGTTGCTTTACCGTGCACATTGAAATTACTTTTTAGTGAATGAATGGGGGAATGAGTTTCTATATACTAAATTGAGATGGTCACCTAATGGGTTCACACAGAATTGTGTTGAGGGACTGTTCGTCATCTTATAATCGTCTCAATATATAATAAGAGCATTTCTATACACAAGTAAATAAACTGTTTATATGCAAATAAAATGATGTGATCACTAATATCAAATTAATTGGCAGCAGTTTACAAGAGAGAGAAGGTATGAATATCAGTTGTGGTTTTGGCTATTGGTGCGAGTTCTGGAAAGTTGAATATTTCTTCTGCAAAATGCAGGTTAGTTACAGAATTGAAATTTACTAAATACTAAAAGTGAATACAGTGTTTATGTTGGGCTTCAGTTAGGACCAAAAAGAAGTATGTACAAAATACTTGGATAGACTTGAAAGGATTCTGACAATGGTGTATACTGTACTTCTTTCGGCTTATTTTGGACTTCATCCATCATCTAGTATGTAAAGGACAAGTAGATCACGATGCTTCGGAGACTGGATCTGTCTCTGTCCTCAGGTGGGTAGGGAAGGATAAACCTACTCAGTTGGGCCTGTTAGCTAGTCTCAGTCACTGTGATTGAGACTAGCTCTTTCTAACGGGCCCAACTGAGTAGGTTTAATCTGTTAGCTAGTCTCAGTCACTGTGATTGAGACTAGCTCTTTCTAACAGGCCCAACTCAGTAGGTTTATCCTTCCCTACCCACCTGAAGACGGAGACAGATCCAGTCTCTGAAACATCGTGGTCTCTTGTCTTTTACGTACTAGACGATGGGTGAAGTCCAAAAGAAGTACAAAATACTGGATTTCACTAAATATGGGAATACAGAATCAGGATTTAATTGAATCATAAAATATGTTACCTGATTGCAGGAAGCAGTATCTGAAATTTCAGAAGATGCTCCTAGATCACCGAAGAAACTTGCATCAAGTAAAGAATGATAGCTGTCACCATATGTATAAATTGAGAACAACCATTACCAGTAATCAAAATATACTGAACATCTAAGTACATTGCAAGTTTGTTCATGGATATGTGGAAGTTCTTGGACTTGAAGGTGGTGAGTCTTAGTATTAATGGTACAATTTTTATACAAACTTCACCATTCTTCATTTTGTGTGTATTGTTTAAAACTCCTTGTCATTGTGTTTATACAAGAGTATGGTCTCCAGTTATCATAATTCTGTTCATAACTGGAATGTGATTATGAATTTCAAGCAGAGAACAAAAAAAAAATGCTGTAAACCAAGTTGTGGAAATGAAGTGTGCACAGTGTTACTGTGTTTGAAAATGAACGTAATCTTCTTTTCTCTCCTCCAAAAGTGTATTTAAAATTTCTACATTCTGCATTCTGAACCTTTGAACTGAAAGATTTCTTTTATATAATCATTTAATTTCATGTTGGCTACATTATCTTATTTCACTATTAAATATGTCAGAATTTGACTCTGTAACCTGCAAATTTGTATTTAATTGCAACTGGTAAAACCCCAAATGCATAGAACATGTCTTATTTTTACTAAAACTTGGTTAGTTCAGATCATACAATAAGATAATTGTGTGTCTGTTGGTAATACCTAAATATTGCTAAAATATTTTTAGAAATGGGATATTCAGTAATCTGGGAAATTACATGTAATATGTTGATTGCTAAGAAAACAGTGTTAATTGAAATAAGTGCATTTTATCCTCGTAGAGTAATGTACAGTTAAAACCCGTTATTATTTATGCAAGCATCTTCAGCTTCCATATTCATAACCACAGATATTTATCACATTTGTTCCATCATGTCACCTTTTCTAACATGAGCCGAATTTTATAGTATTGTTTAAGGATAGATCGTTATGGTTTAAACCTATTGTATAAAATTTATGCAGGAAAAAAAATTGTCAGATTTAAATGCATTTGTTTTGTTTGTGAGTTCTGTACTAAACAGTGGTCTCAGGTTTTCTAATGCATTCACTCAGAATTTCAGCCTCTATCTGTCAGGGTCTAATTAGTAGTAACAGGATAAGTTCTGTAATAATTGTTCATATTAAAGTTTCACTTTACATTGTACACATGAGCCTGTGTGACATAATTCTTTATGCTTCTCTGCCATCTGATGCTTGATATAATGAGTATATAGAAAGATGTATGATTGTGTGTGCAGTGTCAGCTGAAACAAGAAGTCATAGCTTGCATATTGAGTCTGTGAAACAACAAAGAAAACCCCTTTTTAACTTAGTTTGTTGTAAAACAAACAGTGGTGAAGAATTGTTTAATTAATTTCAGTTGTCAAAACAGTTAAAGTGTTATTGTATTTATGTATTTTATGGCAAAAATAATTTCTATTGTAAATTAGAGTAAGTGAACATAGTCACTATAGCAGCCTTTCAAATAGGTTAAAACATTTTTAGTAATGCACTCGAATCTGTTAGGAGGTGTAGTTAAAGCTGTGTTCTTTATATTTGTAAGTTTTTATGCTGAAACATAAGAATATACTTCCTTACACTTGTTTCTAAAATGCATTTAATTCTGTTATTCAGCTAAGTAACTGGAAGTTCTTACAAGGTTGCATGTTAGTTCACAGTGCATCGTGCTTGCCATTTTGCCATACTTTGTAACATGCTATGTTAAATATAAAACCCCCTCAAAGCTTTATGGTTTAAAATTTTTCTTCTTCACATATTGGTACTTACAAAAAATAAACAACTGTTAACATTCTGTTAATGTCCAATTCTGAATATTGCATTGTTATTCTAGCCAAAATAGCATCTAGTCAAGTAGTTATGTTTGAATCATAATATGATTCATAAAACAAACTGTGTTGTGTTGACAATGGAAATGGCTGAATGAAAATTGGAGAAGATTAATAGATTGTGATGAATCAGGATATCATATTAAGTTTGTGGTACACAATCTAAGACTGATGCTTGGACCAAGTAATGTACCATTATGAGCATGAACAGAGAATTTTTGCCTTGAAAGAGAGATGTTTGGTATTTGCAGTATTACAGTTTTGAATTTCTCATCAACAACATAAGTTAATATCTATTCTGTTTGTATATGTAGAAGATACTGCTTTGTATGTATATTCTGGGTGATGAATGGCTCTATGTTTTTTCTTACACTAACATTCCGTTGATTACTACATCTGTATATGTTAATAACTATTTCTTTTCCTGAATTGTGTTCTTGTAAGTGCTCAGCTGGAGATAGAAGTACATCAGCTTTACAGTCACTGTGAAAATGGCAGCTATCATAGCATGAGAAAGCTTGAGTTCTGTAACATGACTGGTTTGTTTTGTAATTGACAGTAATGTGTTTTAAACAGTAATAGAACCATAATAATTAAATGACACAGACTTCAGTAATTGCTGGAATATTTTCTGTTTTGTTGTATGACATGAGTATTCAGCAGACTGCTTATCTGTTAGTACCTTACTTTGTCCCAAGTTTGGAAACGTCATCACTTACTGAGTAAATACAGTTACCCATATTTTATGGATTTGTTGATTGTGTCATCATGAATATTTTTTTATATATTTTAGTATCTTCTCATAAAAATATTAGTCTTTTGAGCATATGAAGTTTATGTTGGGTTTGAGGTTCTCACAGTCAAGACTATGACCAGTACAGTCATCTGGGTTGTAATACCATAATTCAGAAATGGCTAATTTTTTGGAATAACATATTGCCTGCAAAATGTCAGGCTTTTCATGAACGACAAGGTGAAATATTATATTTCAAAGTTGAAGACATTAGACGTTGGAAATTAAGTCTGAAATCATTTTTCCTTGATTCCGTACAGTCTGCATAGTCTTACAAGGTATACCAATCATAATATGTTCTAAAAGTGAACATATTTTACACCCTACAAAATGTATTCATACATGTTCGGTTTGAAGTGCTTATAACAGTGACTGTGATGAGTACTGTCTCTGGAATGTAACAGCATGTAGTCTGGTAGAATTCTACCGAAATTCCTCCTAAATGTCATAGAACATAAAACAGACCTAATGCTATTACATCCCAGGAGGTAGTATGTTTACAGCCCATTATGATTCTGCATTCTTATTACGCAACTAACAGAATCTTACGAAATTCATGTGGTTGACATGGTGATATCATTGTGGATATAGCTGTAATTTAATAGAACCAACATTCTTTGTAATCAGTGAAGTCTTGGGTGAGAGAAGCAGCCGCACATGTAAAACCAAGAATGTGATAAGCATGCGACTTGGTCAGGGTTATGATACACTTCAAAAAGTGGTGATAGGTGAGTATGAAGCAGTAGTGGAATGATGATTTGCAGGGGAAAACTGAAGAGTTAGGGAAAAACCCTGTTCCTTCGTCATTTCATCCACCATGAATTTCACATTAAGTCGTTGCAATTTAACCCAAGGGTTTGCAATGAGAGGTCAGTATCTTAACTGCCTCAGCTGTGGCATGGCCTTGTAATCTAATACCTTACTAAATTGTTTAATCTTGATACAGGATTTCATGTGTTAAAAAGTGGGTCCATATTATGAATAGCTATGGTAGGAAACTATTTCCATAAGAAGAATTGCATCATTTGCAAAGACCTCCAGTTGTACAACATTTCAGAATCATTTGGTGGTTTATAGTGATTCTGCATAAAATTGAGAAATATGCACACACTGTTAATTTTTCCATGCACACAAAAATTGCCCGGGGCACATTGTAGCAAAGTTGGTTGAGGTACTATGCTACAAACGGGAAGGTCACGGGTTCAAGTCCTGATGAGGTCATTTGATTTCTTTCATTTGACCTAAACCTTCCAGCTGCACTATGGCCCTGGTGTTGATCAGCCTCTAACAGAAATGAGTACTAGGAATGTTCTTGGAATAGGGCGCGTAGGGCTGACAACCTAGCCAATTGTCTAGAAAATGTGGGAACCTCAACATCTCACTTCCATATGGGCCTCCACGGCCTATTACAGGGATACCTTTACTGTACTTTTTTTTTTACACAAAAGTTTCCCTAGTTCCAAAAAAGGTTATACTAGTTTATTTCCCAAATTACATGGCATAAGCCATACCTTAACTACATGGAGCAGAGATCTCGGGACGCTGATGATCACTCTGTTGGTCAAGAAATTCCTAGCCTTTCATCAAACCTGAAGGGTCATTACTGTGTCCATGAGCCTGCCAGTGGACTGCATGCTGAGCCAGCTGAATGTAATCCATCTCACATCCTCTTTCCCCAACAACTATTTTAATGTTATCCTCCCATCTGTTACTGGCATTGAGCAAAATATTGTTTCTTCACAAAAGTCAGGTCTTGGAACTGGCTGAGAGTAGATTGAGAGAACGGTTGTTTTCTGTACAGAGAACATTACCAATGAACACAGTGATAAAAGTGCAAGAACAATGTATGTGTGAAATATTCTTTAGATTATGCTAAAGCAGAAAGCAGCTTCCAGTGAGATGATTGCTACAGTGTACAAAATTGTGTTGTTCACACCTCATTCCAAACACAGCAAATGACCTAATGAAGCTAGGGAAACAGGTATTACCCAATATATTCATTACCATTTCAACTCCGGAAATTAGCTTGTATGGGTATGGAAAATATGGGGGCATAATAGGTTTTGCTGTAAACAGCATGGAGAAAAGTTTTCCCAGTTGGCAGCTCTTATTGAGATTTAAGATTCTTGTGGTAGCAATAATGACAACAGTTTTTTGAACATTTGGATCCCCCACCCAGGTTTTGTGTTAAAATCGAATCCGAAAAGAAAGGAAATATATGAAACAACAGTACCAAAAATTAGCTGACTAGGGGAATCAATAAGAACATTTTGTAGGAGCTACACATCCATTATGGTGTTATTACTCATCACCAGGGGCTGTATTTTGATGACATGTCATCTTATTTTCCTTGTATCCTATGTGATGCTCTTAAATATATAAATCTCGGATATGAGCTGTTGGTTACAAAAATGTAAATTTTATAGGTAATTTTTTAACATTTTTGGAGTAAATTTTTGGACCTTTAAGGGTATTTCTAGTCATTTTTGGCCATTTTAGGAAATTTTTCTTCATGTTTTCTGAAATTTGAATGACATGGAATCGAAGTGTTCTTTCTTTTCTCCATTAGGCCATTTTTCTGGATTTTATAGGTCATTTTTTTAATATTTTCAGGTCATCAAAATCCAGGCCCTGCATATAACATTTTTGGGCCATATTTTAGGTCATCAAAATTCGGACTCCGCTCATCACATAATTACAAGTTACACAGTTACTGTGGCCTTCAATGGCATAATCATTTCATGACTATTCATGCAGATCAGTCATCTGCATCACATGCTGGTATGGGTAATTACATACTCAGTGTGTCTACACAGTATTTCTGTCTCCCATTAGAGAACCAATAGGCTATAACAAACATACACAAAAATTGGTTTAATGACAAAGGCCCTTCTGGGGGAGGGATGCCTTTATGTAGTATAGTAGTTAAATTTTCTTTTGTCGTCTGAGCTTTTCGCCGTTTAGGGCGAGCGCACACCATGGAAACTGGCGACCGCAGTTTCTGAGAAATATTATCAGAGTGATTTGAACACACGTTACTGAATGGAGAAGAGCAAATTGAGGAAACGGCAACGCAACTCAGGCTGATAACAATTCTCGGAAATTGCGGTTGCCAGTTTCCTTGGTGTGCCTTTCCTAATGCAGACGTCATATGTCGTTTCTTTCTTATTGCGGCAGTATGTCTGTTGCTATCTCGGTGAGTGTTCGACATATTTTGTAAATAACAGATGTTATCTGTGTTCATTTACGTAGTTGAATTATTCCGTAGAACGGAAGTTTACATGCCGCTAATGCAGGTTATTTCATTAGTGTGGCGATTAACTTTGCCTGCGTGATCCGTGCCAAAATGGTTTTGAGTGATCCATGGTATTGAGCAATATGTATATCATCTTTGTACATAGGTGTATGTTTCATAAACGGTGCGTGGTTGTGTTGTGAAGGTAGTGACTGGCATGTGTGTAATAAGTGGAATGATTTGATTTTATTTATATATGGTTTAGGGTTCCTGGTTCATAATTCTGGGCTTAAACATGGATCACACGGAAACAAAATTTGTTCAAGATGAGGTGGAAGGAGGTGCAGTTCATTTGAATTCTGCTAACAGAATAAGGAATAAAACCCTGCGTCGAGCGCAGGTTCGGAAAGACAAGCGCCAGAAAAACAAGGTATATGTGGTTATATCCGCGTCACCAGTAATTATGTGTATGCTTCCGTGCTTATTATAACAAACTTTAAATTACTATTGCATGTTTAAGTGATTTCCTTTGATGTCATTCGGTAGTCCTGATAGATTATGGACCGGCCAGCAGAGGAACTGCGGATTGATTCCCTTCAGGATCAAGGGAATTGTTTTTCTCCACAGCATCCAGACAATCTATGGAACTCAGAAGTGGGTTCCGGGAACATTTTCCCAGAGGGTAAAATTCCGAGGCGTGAATCTGACCACTCATTTACTTCTAGGGATGAGGTTCAAAAAGGGATGGAGATGTTACTCCACTTCCACATATACGAGTATATGTTCTTAATTAAGTGTAGAGACTTTACTTGACTATGTAAATTGTTGGATTATACTTTGCCAAAAGTATTTACTAACAAACCTGTTTTCTTATAAGAGAAATGTTGCTAGTTATTAGGCATTACATATGAAGTTGCAGTAGCACTGGTGTATGCTTCCTTTTTTCCTGCAATTTTTGTATTTTAGATTTGGATTAATTTTTATGACATTTATGCAGTCAGATTACCTATTCTTTTAAAGCATAAATGTATGCTGTAATATGCCCAGAAAAAATGTTGCCATATTTTTTTACCTGTGAAGTTTTGGAGTGTAATGACCAATTTATGGCTGTGAATCATTTAAGCAGAGACATTTCTTTGTATCTAGAAGATATATGGCCCAAACTTTGGACAGGAAAGGCTTTCCTTACAGTGATTTTGTGATTCCTATCAGACTGGGTTAAAATAACACATATCAGCTTCAACCTCAGTTCCTTCTGTTGGACCATTCATAATCATCCTCTCATATGACTGGACAGAGAGAGAAAGAGCGAGTGTGTGTGCACATGCATGTGTGGGGGAGGGGAGTATGTGTGTGTTACAATTGCTATGTCATTGTTTCATAGCATGCAAACCATACTTATGATGTGATTCCCCTGCCTTCAGTGGCATACTGAGAGTGAAGAGTCAGACACTCCTCATTAACACTTCGTGGACCGGCAATTTAAATATTTAAATCACCCTTGGGACCGGCATTTTTAAACCTACTACGCTGACTTGAGCACTGTTCACTTTAAAAATTAATATAAAATTTCCTAATTAATCTTATGAACTAAAATTTTTGGAGAACAATTTCCAATGCTCCTAGAAGTGCTTGAGAGTGTGATATTTCTGGAAACTTTCCCCTTTGTGAAGTGGCATTACAGAGAACTTGCAAATGTAGACATGCTCCTTTTTTTGTGAACTGTGGAAACACGGCATTGCCTAGAAAGATGCTTCCCCTTGGAATGTTCACTCTTCACAATTTTCACGAGGGTATTTTTCCGCATATCACCCGGGAGTCGCCCTGTGGGATCCACATGAGGCTTGCGTGGGGTGGAATTGGATGGGCATGGTCGCACTAAGTCTGTGTCTGACTCTGGTTCTGCCACCACCATCTGGTCTGTAGCCCAGGGCTTTGCCACATTTATCAGAAAAGCTTTGTATTTCAATTTTGAATCAGGGTTTAGATTTTTGTGATTTTTAAATTTTTTTTACTGTCCCCGCAATATTATTACCCCCATTATCTTCGGAGCTACGGTCACTTTTACTGTCTGTGGCCACAAGTGACCACAATTCTTTGCTCTCCCCTGTCACTGCTGCTCTCTCAAACACCATAACTACGCATCTCAAGGCAGGTCAACTGGTTCATTGGAAAATAATTTGTCCTTGTCCATACCCCAACACTAACTACTGGCTGATACATACAGCTTGAAGAGCAACAAAGCATTATCACTTATCGTGGTTTAAGAAAACAGCGAGATCAACTTACTGACAAGTAAGCGAATATTCCAGAGTTTTATTACGCCATTGCGTGCAACTTAGGTGGCGCCAGAGAGATGTATAGTGTGTTGCAACTTATCGTGTTTTAAAAACCTGTTAACAGGCGAACAGTCCGCCATGTTTAAAAGTGAAAAACCTTTTAAAGGGTGTGTGGTCTGCAAAGTGTTAAGTGGAGCCAATCTGTAACACATAAATTCACTTCACTTCAGGGCTGTTCAGAAAATTCACTGAAACTATGACACACTACCACAGTTCTTCAGTGTTAATGTTGGTGTTTGTGACTTTCATTGTTGAATCCAGTTTTGTATAGTGTTTCCATTAGACTAGTTTCCCTTCTCTTTGTGCCCAAAATACAATTAAAATTGATATTCATAATATATATGCATGCAGACACACACACACACATACCTTCATATCTCTGTTGGACAACAAAATCAGTTACAAATTATGTAAGGTCATTTGGAAGACTAAGAGTATATATTGAGCAGGTTGGTCTAGTGGTAACACTTGTGTTCAGGGACTGCTCAGTTCAGACATTGCATAGGACGTTAGGTCTCCTAACTGATGTTTCTTATTGCTTTCTTCAGTTCCTCCATACAGATGCAAGGATTGTACCTTGATTAAGCCATGACATCGTCCTTGCAAATTCTTTTCAAGTTATTCATAATTCATTCTACCATTCCATGCTGTGTAGTCTAGCTGCTAACAGTATCGTAAAGTAACCCACAGAGGAAGACAAAGAAACTATATTGTAGAGAAAGGTGTGCATTGGACTGAAGTTTCTGATGATAGGTACCAACAAAGGCTTTCATACACAAGATAATGCAGTTAAGGATACAGAAATGTTTCTTTTTTCTTTTACAGTTAAAGAAAGCAGAAAGGAAAAAGAGAAAGGATGCAGGATTGCCAAAGAATGTTCCAAAAACTATTGACAATATGCGAGAGAAGGATGACACGATGTTGGTGGATATGGATGAGGAGGATCAGTTGGAATTGAATTTGGAATTGGAGAGAGATGAGCTTAGTAGCTACTTCCAGAGGACATATGAACCCAAAGTTCTTATCACATTTTCTGATAACCCGCACCAGGTAAGTTTTCATTTTTTGTTATTTTTCAAATTTTCGCAGTTTTGAGTGTTCATACGAGTATTGTGTAGTCTTCTGATTTGTGAGATCATGTAGTTTTGTATGGGGGGGGGGCACATGGTATCATAGTTGGTTGAGGCACTATACTACAAGCTGGAAAGTCACTGGTTCAAGTCCCGATGAGGTGAATTTTTTTCCCATTTACCCAAACGTTCCAGCCACACTATGGCCATGAGGTCTATTCAGCCTCTAACAGAAATGAATACCGGGAATCTTTTTTTTGGGGGGGGGGGATAAAGGATGGCTGGTGCATAAGGCTGACAGTCTTAACTGCCAACTGTGAGCCGATTGTCTAGACAAAATGGGGGGATCCTCGACATCTCGAAACCCTGTAGTCCTTCACAGCCTGTTAAAGGGATTGCTTTACTTTACCTTTAATGTATTTTGTGTGTGGATACCAGCATTTCAGAGGAACATGCAGCTTCCATCTTCAGGGTTAAATTCTCCTCACCTACTTCCATGAATTTCACTGACTGTGTTCCTTGCAACTTGCCTGTAGAACATGACCGTATCCTCACTACATTAATTTTGATCCAGACAGTGGAGGCAGCATATTCCTCTGAAACATTTGTATTTGCATACACTATTGTATATGGTTTCATTTGGTTGTTTTTGTCACCATTATCATCACAGTTATATCTGTTTTTGTTATTACTGTTAATCCTTCTAAAGGAGAGATCAAAATGAGTCAGTAACATCATTTGAAGGTGTCCTGTTATGTGTCCAAACCCAGAGATCAGCTGTCCTTAAGCATTTTTCACCAGTTTCCTTAGTTCAGGTATAGGCAAATGATGGAACCTTTCTTTGCTGCCCATTCCTTTTATTCATGGTCTTACTATGATTCCACACAGTATAGTGTATGCAGTTGAAATAGTGTAATTAAATAACTGAAGAATTAGCTAATCAACACTGATTGAAACAAATATGTCCAGAACGTGGAGACCATTTGATGATTAAAAAAGTAAATGAATACAATTAAAAATTTGGTTTACATCATTACTACAGGCCTTAAATCATTTTTCTACATAATCTGCATGAAGATTCAGGCACTTGTCATGTCATGTGATGAGTCTATGTATGCCTGCATTGTAAAATTCTGCCATGATCCATCCGAATCAGTCTTTAACTGTCTTCTTCACTTCTTCATTGCTACCCATATGCGTGCCATCCAAGAACTGCTTCAGGTATGTGAACAAATGCAAATCATTTGGATCCAGGTCCTTACTATATTGCCGATGGAAGAGAACTTCCATCACAAAATGCAAGTGCTACCTGCACACACATACATTCAGTGGATATTAAATAGGATATAACCAGTTCCTCCCTTTCTTCCCATTTCACAATTTATAATCATTGTTGCCTGTTAACTTTTCGTACATCTTAAAGCAGATTGGACTGAAACCTGGAACCTTGTATTCGCTATACTAATGCACCTAGTCATCAGGCCATACTTTTGGAACCAGGATAACTCAGTCACTATGGCAGTGGATTAAGGACTAGTCAGCCAAGGAATTTGGGTTCAATTCCTGGCAGGGGCATGAGATTTTTCTCTTCTCCACAGTGTTCAGAGTGTCTTTGGGACCCACCCAGCCTCCTATCCAGTGGCTACCAGGGGCTTTTTAACCAAGGGGGTACTGCAACATGCATGTGAACCTGACCACTCCATCTAGTGCCAAGGTTAAGAATTGTGAAGCTTTACTGCCATTCCCCCATACATCTTCATGGCATGGTGCTTAATTAATTAATAACAGGGAAGACTTTACTTTATACTTTTTACCTAAAAGCAGATATTGTGTGTGGTATGTACAAGTATAACTTACAGAGAAAACCAGATAAACAGCTAGTGATTACTGAAGACTGAAAACTGAAAAATTTCAGATCAAACCTAAAATGTGGTTACACTTGTGAAATTTGTGTTAAGAAGTATAAACTATGAAATTATTCCCAGTTTTCTAGGTGTTTCTCACTTATACAGTAATCAAAGTGTGTGTTAATTAGTTGAAGTTGCTGCCATGCTTAATTAATCAAGCACCATGCCATGAAGATGTATGGGGGATGGATGTATAACTCCTCCATTCTTGACCTCAGCACTAGATGAAAGTGAAAATTGTTTTCATGCCCTAACCACCCCACCCCACCCCACCCCCCAAGTACCCAGTGGATAGGAGGCTAGGTGGGCTCCAACGCCGGTCTGATTGCTGTGGAGTAGAGAAAAGTATGTTAATCCTGCTGGGAATCAAACCCCATCCACTAAGTTTGTATCTTGTTGCTATACTGACTGAGCTTTCTCAGCTTTCCAAGAGTGCTTTAATAGTTACACAGCAGTGCTGGTGTGAAGTTTCTGCAAGTGCAGAAGTGACAGACAGTCAACAGACTAACTGCATTAGTTATATGATTGATACGAATATAAGGATTACATTAATTGTATTTATAGTATGAGCTTTGAAGTTCTCTCAGCAGTGAAGATGCATGTTGTCATGTGTAAGAATGACTGTCAGTAGGCTTTTGGATTGGATATTGGATTTATTGAACTCCTTAACACACAACTCATAATTACACTTAATTATAGCACTATTGCTAATTTTCACACTTTAAAAATCACATGGTAAGTCTTTTCCATCCTGCAGTCTCTTCACTAGTAGTTGCCTGGTAACAGCTTTTAACAGTGGCTATTTCTCTGTTTCCAGGCACAGGTTCTTCCTGAATGGTGGCCCCCTTCCAACTGAACTAAATCTTCACTTCATCCCTTTTATAATTCCTCGGCACAGTCAGCCACAGAAAACACCATATCCAACATTACCTGTATTGTTGCTGCGGGAATCTGTTTGCGATCATTGCCTAGAAACAGCTGTATGTGATGCAATATTTTGACATTCTGCCTTATAACACTATGTTACCAAACAAGTTCACTCAAGTGGTAACCCTCCTTGGGAGGATCCCACTTTTAATCTCAGCCAGAACACCCATTGGCCTCTGGGAGCTTTTGCATTGTTCTTGGATAGGACCTTAAATTAGGCCACAGGCTTCCTGTCACTATCAGCCAGTCATTCAGCACTGTATTATCTGGTAGGCAGATACCAGTGATTTTGAGGAATATCTTCAGAGAAAGACAGTATGTTCATGCAAAACTCTGATACCCAACTAACAGAATACGCAGTGTCATGACCAGGGCCCAAATTTTGATGACCTGAAAATATTTAAAAAATTACCTATGAAATCCAGAAAAGTGACCTAAAATATGACCCAGAAATGTAATATGCAGGGCCCAGATTTTGATGACCTGAAAATGTTAAAAAAAAATACCGAAAAAATCCAGAAAAATTACTTAAAGGAGAAAAGAAAGAACTCTTCTCTTCCACATTTCACATTTCAGAAAACATATGAAGAAAAATTCCCTAAAATGGCAAAAAATGACAAGAAATACCCTTAAAAGTACAAAAATTTACCAAAAAATTGCCCCCAAAATGAAAAAATGACCTTAAACCTAAAAATGTCAAAAAATGACAAAAAATTACCTATAAAATTTACATTTCTGTAACCAGCAACTCATATCCGAGATTTATATATTTAAGAGCATCGCATAGGATACAAGGAAAAAAAAGATGACGTCATAAAACCGGGCCCTGGTCATGACGTAGGAGACTCACAGTATTAATTGGTAATGTTTCTGTAATTTTTCAGAAATGCCGTATATTTGGACGTGAACTTACCCGTGTTATACCTAATTCTGTTTCTCTTTACCGAAACAGATCAGGGGTAAAGAAAATGGTAAAGAGTGCCATTGATAAAGGCTTTACTGATATTATCGTCATCAATGAGGACAGATACCAACCAAGTATCCTTTAATAGTCCTTACATGAAGACCATGTAGAAAGTATATTTTTCGACATGATTAAGAGAGAATGGAAGTAGAACTCCATGCAGTTCTTAATTTTTCTGATTTGGCACAGGATTTTTTTCTAGTGTATTGTGAAGGTAAAAGTATAGTTGTTTTGTGCTTAATTAGCACCTCACAGTGATATATGTAGGGAGCAGATGGGAACCTGTAACTCCCGAAGCATTCTTAACCTCAGCATTAGATGGAGATAGGTGGTCATTTTCACATCCTGGTCACTTTACTTGTATGGGAAGGTAGTTTGGACTCACTGAATATGAGCTTAGATGGGCCCCAGAGCTGGTCTGGACATTGTGGAGAAGAGAAAAATCTGTTTTGTCTCTATTGGGAAGTGTACCACACAGTCCCTCGGGTATTCAGCCTATAGCTGGGGACTCTCTCCCTGGGGATAAAAGGACCAGAGCATGATTGACCACTCACCTCCATCTAGTGCTAAGGTTAGAATTTAATGGAGTTGTACCTCCATTCCCACTTGAGTCTTGGCATGGTGCTTAATTAGGCACATAGATAATTTTTACCATTATATAAGCATTTAATTTGGTTTAATTTGCCATGTTTAATTACAAATATTGAAATATTTTTATATAAATATTACCACCTTAATGTCTACAGATGGTATGTTAGTTATTCATTTACCAGATGGCCCTACAGCTCATTTTCGTCTGAGTAATGTGAAACTGACACCTGAATTGAAGGTATGTTGACATACCTGTTGTTACATTGTGTTTTGTGTCTGGTTAGACTGCCAAACCCTGCCACAGAAGTAGATGCTGGATATGCCATGGCTGCCTAGGGTTAAATGCAGTTGCACATAGAACCCACAGTATGTTCCTCAAATGACCTTCAAATAACAAAAGAGATAACATGTGAAAGCCTGTCATACTCGATACCATCTATTGACAGAAATGCTATACTGATTGATTAAGAACAAGCCAATGTATGTAGGTCATACTGAAAGTCATGAGCAACAATTTTTTTTAAAGTAACATGCTTTATTATTGACAAACCAAATACACCACATCAATCTACAGAAAGCCTGTGAAAGCCTGTCATACTCGATACCATCTATTGACAGAAATGCTATACTGATTGATTAAGAACAAGCCAATGTATGTAGGTCATACTGAAAGTCATGAGCAACAATTTTTTTTAAAGTAACATGCTTTATTATTGACAAACCAAATACACCACATCAATCTACAGACCTTTCTTTATTTTTTCACATAATCGCCACTTCTTTGTACACATTTCTCCCAGCGTTCTGGGAGTTTGAAAATTCCCCTTCTGTAAAATTCCGTTCCAGCCATCCGAAGTCACTGACATGCTGCTTTCTGAATTCATTGTGATTATGGAAGTGTGTGCATGGGTGCGAGCAGTGTTTGAAGATGGGTGAAACATTTTAAAGATGGGAACACCAGCATCGAAGATAAGCTCGGGGCGGTTGTCCTCGAACAGCCTCAACTGAGCGCAACAAGGAAAGAGTGGATGAGATCATTCAAGATGACAGGTGTGTGACTGTGGACACAATAGCCCGAAAACTTGGAATAGGGCACCGTGCATTACAGGAGATGATTGAAAGCTTGGGCTATAGGAAAGTTTGTGCTCATTGGGACCCGCGGTTATTGACCGAAGACCACAAAGGTCACATTGGAAGCAATTGCAAAGATGGGGTGGCAAGTTCTTCCACACCCCTCCTATAGCCCTGATCTGGCATCTTTTCAGACTTGTGAAGGATCAGCTGTGTGGACAACGTTTTGAGACAAGGGAGGCAATTCAGAAAGCAGTGCGTCAGTGTCTTCGGATGGCTGGAACGGAATTTTACAGGAGGGGAATTTTCATACTCCCCGAATGCTGGGAGAAATGTGTACAAAGAAGTGGCGATTATGTGGAAAAATAAAGAAAGGTCTGTAGAGGGGGGAGGTGTATTTGGTTTGTAAATAATAAAGCATGTTACTTTACAAAAAGTTGTTGCTCATGACTTTCAGTACGACCCTCGTAATTTGTATGTGGCATGCAAGGGTTTAAATGAGTATTTCTTTTAAAATTTTATGGTAATAGTATATCAGAGTAAATAACTGTTATATTGGACATTGTCCCAATGTTACTTGTTCCTAGTTTTTTTTTATTATCAAATACAGCATTTCAGAAACTGGATCCGGTTTTGTCATTAGTTCTAAGGGAAGTTCCTAATTGGTTGAGCCCATTAGGAAGAACTTTTCTTAAATGCTGGTCCAGTGATTAAAACCTGGACAGAGGTTGTAACAGAGCCAACAGAATCACTTTTCAAAATGTTGTGCTTGAAAGACATTTGGTGATGAACAGTGGTCAAATAATAGTTATAGCTAAGTATTTCTTTCTTAGAAATAATGTGTAGGAACACCACTATACTACATGGCTAAAGAATAATTCTGTGCTGTAATGACAGTAACTAATGTGACTATTATGTTCTCTAGAGAAGTCACAAGGAAATCTCAAAGCATCGTCCTGAAGTTATTCTCAACAATTTTAGTACACACCTAGGTAATACCGTTTCCCGGATGCTGGCAGCCCTTTTCCATTATGAACCAGAGTTCAAGGGTCGTCGTGCTGTAACATTCCATAATCAGAGAGACTACATTTTCTTCAGACATCACAGGTTTGGCTCATATGATAAAAGGTTGTTTCTTTCGAAAGGCAATGTTCATTCTTTATATCAGCATTTCTGGTCTTCGGAGAAAAGCAAAATATAGTATTAGTCATTACTAGCAATAGTTTTAAAGTCTTTAGACTGTTTTAAGATGTTTATTATTATTGCTAATAAAACAAAGTAAAGTTGCTCCTGTGCCTTAATTAAGCTTTGCTGCATAAAGACATACTGGGGACTGGAGGCATAGCTCCATGCATTCTTAACCTCAACACTAGATGGAGATGAAAGTCAGTTTCAACCCTTGGCCAGTTAGTTTATGGGAAGGGGCCCTGTACCCATTGGACAGGAGGCTGGCCAAGTCCTATATGTGGCCTGGATACTGTGGAAGAGAGATAAATCTCCTGCATTTACTGGAAATCAAAGTCTTATTTCATAGTTGTCCAGCTTGTAGCATAAGTAGTATACACTCTGAGTGATCCAGGCATATCATACCAATACACATTGTTAATACATCTTCAGAACCATACCCACATACAAATAATTTGAAATAAGACGAGTACTGTTATCTGGCATGTGACATCATGAAGTCTGGTAAGAGTTTACATGGTGTTTCAGATGAACATACTGCCTCCATCCTCATTGTTGAACAGTTAAGTTCAAGCAGTCCTTCAGCGCTAAAGATGTATGCAGTAGGTTCCTCAGAAACATTCATGAACTTCTATGAGGGGCGTTCAAGTTCTTAGGTCTCCAATTTTTTTCTTCAGGACTGGGAGCAGATAGACACATGTGGTTTAGTTTAAAATACGTGTGCACTCTTTGTGAATGTGTGACAGAGATGGCGGCACCATATGGCACATAGAACTCTAGTGGTGGCGACGAGAGTGAGGAGCGTTTTTGATACCTAAAATGGCGACGTTTTCGTTACAAGAACAGCGAGTAATCATTCGGTTTCCCCACTTGCGTGGTGCGACACCCATTGAAATTCATCACCAGTTGAGAGAGACATGTGGTGATGGTGTTATGAATGTGAAAAATATGCATTTGTGGGTGCGACAGTTCAAAGAAGGGTGAACGTCATGTGACAACAAACCAAAACAATCTGGGCCTCGCACCAGCCGGTCTGACAGCATGGTCGAGTGAGTTGAGAAAGTTGTTTTGGAAGATTGCCGATTGAGTGTGGAAAACATCGCCTCCAAAGTTGGCATTTCCGTGGGATCTGTGCACACAATCCTGCATGAAGACCTGTGAATGCGGGAAGTGTCCTCCAGGTGGGTGCCACGAATGCTGGTGGACGACCACAAGGCTGCATGCATGGCAGTTTGCCAGGTGATGTTGACACGTGATGAAGGCATGAATGGGACTTTATTTTCATCAACTGTGACAATGGATGAGACATGGATGTCATTTTTCAATCCTGAAACGAAACGCCAGTCAGCTCAATGGAAGCACACAGACTCACCGCCACCAAAAAAAAAATTCGGGTAACTGCCAGTGCTGAAAAAATGATGGTGGCCATGTTTTGGGACAGCGATGGCGTAATCCTTACTCATTGCGTTCCAAAGGGTACTACGGTGACAGGTGCATCCTACCAAGATGTTTTGAAGAACAAGCTTCTTCCAGCACTGCAAGAAAAAGGCTGGAAAAGGCTGCATGCGTGCTCTTTCACCAGGACAGTGTACCAGCGCATTGGGCGTACGCTTCGCAGCAGTTTCTTTGTGAAAACGACCTTGAAGTGGTTTCTCATGCTCCCTACTCACCTGACCTGGATCGTAGCGATTTTTGGCTTTTCCCAACGATGAAAGACACTCTCCGTGGTCGCACATTCACCAGTCATGTCGCTATTGCATCAGCGATTTTCCAGTGGTCAAAACAGACTCCTACAGAAGCGTTCGCAGCGGCCATGGAATCATGGCGTCGATGTTGTGAAAAATGTGTACGGCTGCAGGGAGATTATGTTGAAAAGTGACAGAAGTTTCAAATTTTTTGTATGATTATTGTGTGAGAAAGAAAATCAGAGACCTTAGAACTTGAACACACAACATACAAAACTATATTGCATCACATCCCAGAAGAAAATGTCATAATCATGGCCATGAGAACCAAAGGCCTTATATATTCAAAGTAATATTTTTGTACAACTTTCGTACCACACTTTTTTTACACTAGCCACTGCAATAAATCTAAACTATGTAACTGCTATGTGCATAATTGGGACATTACAAAAGTTTCTAGTGTCTTATTAAGAACTTGACATCTGAACATACAGCATGGGTTAGTTAAGAAGGATTGCAGCAGGCTTACATACCCAGTTTGGATCTTGGCCTTGCAATAATATCCTTGATGGACACGTCATGTGTCTGAACCAAACAATTTAATAAGCAAGCAGAGGATTAAAATGTTGTTTGATGTTTGACAGTGACAGTGTGATGAAAAATTGTATCATGTTATAGAACAGAGATTATAAAAGTTTGTTTCATGGAGGAAGTACCATGTGCTTTGGATCTTTTGTATAATGTGTTTATTTTAATTTATATAGATACAGTTTCTTCCTGGTGTATAGAGTAAAATCTTGGTATTTCTTTCTAGGTACGAATTCACCTCTGGTGGAAAAGTGAGGTTGCGAGAATTGGGTCCACGATTCACGCTAAAGTTGCGATCTCTGCAACATGGCACTTTTGATTCAAAAACTGGAGATTATGAATGGATCATCACTGACAAACGTCATGACCTGGAGACCAGTAGGCGAAGATTTTATTTGTGATTTTTAAATTGTCAAATTGTCATGTTGTACAGTATCACTGTTAATAAATTATTAAATCTGGTTTTCTTTTTTCTTGTTTTATGGTCATGATAGTTTGTCGTCCAAACATGTAGGGACTTAATATTTCCCCATAAAATTCCAGGGTAGAAAGAACAGAATTTTTTAAATTTACCAAATTTATGAAACCAAAACATGTATCATCAGTATTTACTGGCAATAGTGGATCTGAAACCTTCAGGTGTCAATATTGTTAGCATAAGTTCAGATATTAGATCGTCTTCACATTGCAGTTTATATGTGACGGCACTGTGCATGTGTTATTATTTTCTACATTTTACAAAAGTATATATTTTTTTAAGAATAAAATCCCCTCCCCAATGCCAAACAACTTTTCTTGAAGTGTTAATATGGTACCTTTCGTATCAGTCACTCAGTTGACTCCAGTATGACTACAATATAATAACCAGTAGAAAAGAGAGTGCAGTGTATGACTTAGCAGAAGGAGAAGAAGCTTCTCAAAAGCAGGAATTGAAACAGTCTCTTTGTTCATACATTATAAAAGACATAAAGTTTGCATCTGAGTATATGTAATTTATTCTTGTATGCTTATTAAGTGCTTTTAAGATCTTGACATGTTTCAGTCATAAATTACAATCATCGGGGTGGGGGGAAGTCATAACTGTTATATTGAAATTCATGTATGTGAATCATTGTCAAGTGTATCTTTCTTGATAATTGGTGTGCTATACTATATTGTATATTCCTGTCTCATGCTTGTTTTTTAAGGTGTTGGCCCTGTGGTGCTGTGCTTATCCATGCATGAATCTTGATTGGTGAACTGTTAAACTGAATGGTATTTAATGAGCCAAAGAAAACTGAACATATTCAGGAGATGACTTTACATCACATTTAACAGCAAGAAAATAAGCTGTAATGACTATTTGAACTGATTTCCCTGGAGTGTTCATTTTAAATGCTTTTAATTTATGTTAATAATGTTTGTTATCCTTTTTTTTATTTCAATTTTTATGATCAAGAATCCGCTGGAGGGGCAGATCCTCCTCCCATGGCGGTCTGATATGATGAAAATTAAGTTGTTATTTTGAGCTTTATTAAAGGAGTCGGAAAATGTATTATTATTTCTTATCTTGTATAAAGATGGCAGTGCTAGTTTCGTACCTGCAGTTGTTTGTTTGCTTTTAGCTACTGTTGCACGCTCAAAATTCCTACTTTGCAAAATCTCGTTGGTCAAAACCATTCCGTAGCATCTGAGAAATTTTCTTCTTGTAGATGAGAGAACTGATATTAGATCCATTTTTGAAAACGGAGTAAGAAGTGCTGCAGGACGAGATCAGGAGGTAGGGTGTAAAATTATTCATTGTCCCATGTGCGCAGGAATGGAGAAGGGACAGAGTGGACAGTTGCTGACCTTCTTACCGGCTGAGCACTTGGTAGTGGGTGAAGTTATTTTGCAGACTAAGCCTGAATGCTGAAGGCAGATGGCAGCATAGGGAATTTGTGGCGTCAGAACGGTCAGAACAGAGTCGTGGGTAGGCAATAACATTGAGTTGCACATTCCTGGTCAGCCCCGTGAAACTCCCATAGGGGAGAGGGAAACGTGTAGAACTACCTTGTATGTTCATCAACATGAACTAGGTAGTCTGGAAATGACTGGAATCGATCATTATACACCTATCGCATTCAATCGAATCGCACAAGTGTGAGCCAATCAGAGGATCTTAAATTTCCATTGAAGGTTTTGGGCATTGGCTCAGCAAGACTGCGTTGTTTGTGATCTTTGTGATGATATGTGTACGCGATTGAGGTATGTCGTGCAATTAATTAGATTGATTAGTAAGTAGGGACTTTGATTTGATGTTGTGAAACGAGAGTCGACATTTACGCATGAATTTACATCTATGTGTTAGTTATGTATATGGATTATGCTTACTACGCCCAGTGAAATTAGAAAGAAACATGAAGTCAGTGTTATTACAATACTTCATCCAAATCGTATTTCTGTATTTTAAGCATCTTTCGGTGTAGCCTAAAGAAGGACCGTAGAATATTTAGAAAGTGAGAGTGTACTGTGATTCTGTTATAATTTTTGTATTGTTTCTTGCACTATAAATGGGAAGGATAAAGAAGAGTTTGCTCCAGGATGCAAGTCTTCCAGTGAGGAAACTGGAATGATATTCTTCAATTTTCCCAGGGATTCAGCACGGTATGAGCCAGATCTGAAATATTATTATAAAACATATTGTAATATTTTGGCCAGTGTTATAACCTTTAAACGCCGGACTTCGAAATAGTGGTAAGCTTGAGCTGGCCGGAGTTTATTTAAATGCCGGTTGCTACCCTGCGTTTAAATGTCCGTTCCTGTTAGGCGCTTAATCAATTTTAAAGGAGCTAAAAATCTTCATTATAATAAATTAATATCTAATTCTAGTAACAAAATGAAAACCACCTGGAGCATTATAAAATCAGACACAGGTAGACAAATTAATTTTGAATTGAATTTATTTACATTCTATAAATCCTAAGCAGGTTAGTACCTATGGATACAGAACAAGTCAAAAGGTTACATACATAAGTACAGGCAATTTTAGCTTAAAAATTAATAACTTAATTTTACATCATTCTCTATTTACATTGAAGTATTCATCTAAAGAGTAGAAGGAATGAGCATGTAGATAATTCTTTAACTCTGATTTAAACTTTTTAGTATCATTGCCCAAGTTTTTAATACTTCGTGGCAGATTGTTGAACACTTTTATGCCAGTAAAGTAGACTCCTTTTTGATATACTGATAAAGTTGATGAGGGTAGGTGGAAGTTATATTTTTGTCTAGTATTCATGTTATAGACATCAGAATTTAATTTGAATTTATCTTTGTTGTAAACAACAAATAAGAGAAGCGATAATATGTATTGCGATTGAAGAGGTAGAATTTTTAATTTCTTAAATAATTCTCTACATGAATCTCTACTTCTACATCCTGTAATGATTCTAATTATATTCTTTTGTATTTTAAAAATTATTACACTATGTGAAGAGTTCCCCCAAAATATTAATCCATAGTTCATAATAGAATGAAAGTAGGCATGGTAAACCATCTTCAATGTTTCCTGTGACATAAAAGGCTTAATTGATCTCATCGCATAGCAAGCTGCATTTAATTTAGGTATAATTTGTTCAATATGTATTTTCCAAGACAGTGTACTGTCTACATGTATTCCAAGGAATTTTGTATCAAGTACTTTACAGATTAATTTGTTGGCATAACTGATGTCCAGATCAATTTGGTGGTTGTTTTTAGTTGTGAATGATATGTAATGGGTTTTATCAAAATTTAATGAGAGTAAATTGGCTTCGAACCATCTGTTTAAGGCTTCAAATACAATATTTATGTCATTTTTAAAGTTTTCAAATTTAGAGTTCTTAAATATTATACTAGTGTCATCTGCATATAGAATTGGTTTAGATTTATTGTTGATGGTTTTAGATAGATCATTTATGTAGAGAAGAAAAAGTAAGGGACCTAAAATTGATCCTTGTGGAACACCGTGCTTTATAATTCCCCAGTTTGAAAATGCATTATGACTGGAGTTTTTATTATTTATTTCAACTCTTTGATACCTGTTTTTGAGGTATGATTTGATCCATTCATTAGCTTTGCCAGTTATTCCATAGAAATTTAATTTCGATAGTAAGATATCATGATTAACACAATCGAAAGCTTTTGCTAGATCACAGAAAATCCCTCCCACAATTAATCTGTCATTGAGAGCACTTAAAATATCGTTAGTTAGTTCATAGGTTGCTTTTTCTGTTGTTAGGTCTTTCCTAAATCCAAATTGCTCTTTGACTAATATGTTGTTAGAATTTAAGTGTTCAAGTAGTCTATTATACATAACTTTTTCAAAGACTTTTGAGAATGAAGTCAATATGGATATTGGTCTGTAATTAGAGATGCATTTTCTCTCTCCTTTTTTAAAAAGTGGTTTCATTACAGCGTATTTTAAGCGTTGAGGAAAAGTACCTGATGATAAAGATTTATTACATAGATGATTCAAGGGTGAACTGATGTAAACAGAGCTTGCTTTAAGTAATTTGGTAGAGATTTCATCATATCCATGTGAATTTTTGGGCTTAAGGGATTTAATAATGTTTTCAATTTCCTTCCTTGTTGAGAATTTGAGATTGATATTTGGAAATGAATTGTTAAAGGCACGAGACAGATAGTATATTGGATTATTATTATTATTATTATTATTGGAATATGTTTTCTCAGCTAATGAAAGGAAATATTCATTAAATGCACTTGCGATAGCTTGTGGATTGTTAGTGGACTTCCCTTCAATATTCAAACTTTGTACGTCTTCATTAACAGATTTCTTTCCTGATTCAACTTTCACAATATCCCAGGTGGTTTTAATTTTATTGTTTGATTTTAGAATTTGGCTGTTATAGTTATTCTGTTTGGCTTCTTTAATGACTTTTGACAAAATTTTACAGTACATTTTGTAGTGACTTTTTAGTCTTGGATCATTACTGTCCCTACTGGCCAAATATAGTTGTCTTTTGTGTTTACATGAAGTTTTTATTCCAATTGTTATCCAGGTGGATTTGTTTTTATTTTCATTTTTGACTATTTTTAAGGGAAAGCTTGAATAAAAGATCCTCAAGTATGTGTTCAGAAAGCAATTAAATTTAGAATCAATATTATTGCTGTCAAATACATTGTCCCATGATTCATTACTTAATTTTGTGACAAAATCTGCCATCGTATGCTTGTTGATTTTCCTTACTGTTTGATATTGTTGATTACTGGGCTGAAGGTCAATATTATTTATTTCTATGAGTTGAGCATCATGATCGGATAAGCCATTTATAAAGGGTCCTACAGTATAGTCTCTTAATTTTGAGTTATCAATGAATATATTATCTATCGCTGAACTAGAATTATTTTGAACTCTTGTGGGAAAGTTAACAGTACTGGAGAGATTGTAAGATGATAACAAAGAGCCTAAGTTTAGTTTCCTATTACTGTCGATGAGATAGTTTATATTTATATCACCACAAATTATAAATTATATAATGCAGGTATACAGTTTTTAAACATTGATGGGAAGTTAACTGATAATAATGATGTAATTACAGATTCTTTTAATAATTATTTTCGAACAATAGCTGGACAACATCAATACCAATAATGTTTATCGGCATTTTCTGTGGTTAGAAGAAAACTTTTGACTGTGTCAATATCTATCTCTCTATCTGTCTCTCTCTGTCTAAAGTATAATTTTATGGAATCGTTGGTAAGGCCAGTGCGTTGATAAAATCCTATGTGAAAGATAGGTGCCAAAGGGTAGGTCTATTTTACTCATTGGAGGAATAATTTAACTTCAATATTAATTAATGATCTTGGTCTGTTATATGCTGGATGCCTAGTAGTATACTTTTATGTTTCATTATTGTAGTCTTGTGTCATTAGTGTGCTGCATTCTTTCACATATATATTCGAAAACTGTGTTAATGATTTACTCACTGTGATTTGTCTTTGATAATATGTGTAATTGTTAGGGGTTAAATATAATTAATTTTTATTTATATCACTGATGGAACTTGTCCTGCTGTCTTTGGCTATTACTATATCCACTGTTCTTCCAGCCATGTAAGGATTAATGGAAAGTAAATAAATGAATGAATGTCTGTTTTAGTTACATGATGTAATGTAGCACATACACCATGTTTGTAATGTTTACTGATGAATTATTTCAAGGTTTTGAGACAACATGTAATACTCTTACAGGGCTATGGTATACACAGGAGGAGTTGGGTTGTCCTGTACTACTGATTCTGCTAGAGTGCTGCACAATAAAGTTCTGTGCAACAAACATTTCTCCGAAAGTGATTTCATTACAGCTGAAAGGGTACACCTTAACAGATGTGCAGCAAGCCTCAATGCTCTAGTGGCTACAGGTAAGCACTATATGTTTCTTATATGAATGAAGTGACTAATAATGAGGACTAGTTTTCAAAGGTACTGCCTCAGAACCCAGTTGTAATCAAACAAACGTCATTATCATCTGACTTGAATTGACTTCTGAAACTGTATATCAATGTACAAGTTATGTAGAATATGTCACAAATACTGTTTTTAGGATAATTAAAAAATATTTGAAAAGCAGAGGACACTATCAGTGGTATGATTAAAGTGAATTAGGTGGCAAAGATTTTAATATGAGGAATAATGTAATGAAATGTACAAGTTTTGTATAAAGTTAGTCCTTTGTAAAGTAATGTGTTATTTTCCAATGTAAAGAAACTAATTCACAACATAAGGAGGCACACTAACTTCTGTTTCCCCGCCCCCCAATTCAGGTGGGTGCAGCAGCGAATACATGGCAACAGCTGTGTTTGTTAAGGAGGTTGACAATCTCTTCGATAGTTTCAATGGTGGAACAAGCGTTGGCCAAGGGAAAACACTGCGTTGCCCACTCAGTGACAACATTCCACATATAAAAAGAAAAAAAGGAAAAAGGCAAGTATGGGGATAAAGAGTTGGATCTTCCTCAAGGATGGTAAACCCACCTTTCTTCATCCCCCTCCTTCACAGAATGGGTGGCTGATTGACATCACTGCTGCCCAACATCTGTGGAGGAAACTGGAAGAGGTGGGTTTTCAGTACCTTCACACCCGAAACCTGAATCAGGAGCCCCTTGAGAACACATTTGGAGCTATTTTTTTAAACTGTGGTTTAAATAATAACCCAACTGTGGGACAGTTTGTAGATGCCCTGAAGACTAGCATCATCAATGGCCTTGCATTTAGAGGACTGGGGGAAACTAATTGTGAGGATGATGGTGCTACTCTTCTGGATAATCTACAATCGCTTTTCAGGGCACCTGAAGCTGCTTCACGAAATCCTTCCACAAGTCATGACAAGGAAACCCCAGCTGGTGTGCCTGAGAGTTTCCATGTTGCTCAGCAAGTACAGATGGACATGAGTCCTGCAGTACCTGCTGGTGACATGGAAGTGCTCTCAGTAGCTTACGTCAGTGGTTCCATTGCCAGACAGGTGCTTC